TTCAGAGAGAGAGAGAATGTATAAGCACCAGCAGGGGAGAAGCAGAGAGAGGGAGAGAGAGCTGACAGCGCAGAGCCTGGTTCAGGGCTTGAACTCACAAGTCGTGAGATCATGACTGGAGTTGAAATCCAGCGTCAGATGTTTAAAGGACCGAGCCACCTGGGCGCACCCCTGTTTAGTGTTTTCTAATGGCCTGAGGAAGAAAATCTGCCAATTTGTTGTGGCATAAAAGGCTCTCCATGAGCTGGCCCTACTCATCCCCGCTCTTCAGGGACGATGACGAGATGCTTTCAATAACTTGCATTTACTCTCAGGGCAAAATTTAATGCCTTGGCACGGCAACACCAGTCACTCATATCTTCCCTACCTACGTTTCCACCCCCTCATACACACATACACCTTGTCAAGGTCTTAAGTATTTGTTCAGGCTCTTCCTGCACCTAAAACACCCTTCTTCTCTACTCCTCTAGTCTGTGTGATTAGTTCTTGTGTTTTCTTCAAGTGTGGACGCAAGCCCTACCATCCTCCCTCTCCATGATCCTCCCTCCCATCCCACTGCTGCTGAGTTAAGGGGCAGCTTTCCAGGGCTGTCACAGCTCCTTGTGTAAGCTTTGATTTTTGTTCTTTTCTTTTCTTTTTTTTTCTTTTCTTTCTTTCTCTTTCATTCGTTCGTTCATATATTTATTTTGTAAGAGAGAAAGAAAGCATGTATGAGCAGGGTAGGGGCAGAAAGAGAAAACCCCAAGCATGCTCTGAGCTGTCAGCACAGAGCCCGACTCAGGGCTTGAACTAACAAACCATGAGATTATGACATGAGCCGAAATCAAAACTCAGACATTTAACCTACTGAACTACCCAGGCGCCCCTTGGTTCTTTCATACTGCCTTGGAATGTAGACTTATCATCTGTATTTTTCTCTGGACTAGTAGCTTTTTTATAGGGTAGTGTCAACAGTGAAGGCTTCAAAGTTTTGGTTCCTGGATTAGAAACCTGGCTACTTGTCTACAGCCATACCCTGACATGCCTGTTCTTGTCTGATCTTGGAAGCTAAGTAGAGTCAGGCCCGGTTAGTACTTGGCTGGGAGACCTGGCTACTTAATTTAACTTCCCTGGACTTCACTTTATTGTGGAAAGTAGGCATAATAAGAACCTCTACTTCAGGGGATGGTTCTGAGAACTGAATGAGGCATTCCATGTAAAAGAGTTCACCTGTGTTTTAAATTCACAAAGAAATCATAGCTGTTATATTATCAGTAGTAACAATACTGTCTGTATACCCAGTGTTTAGGACAGGCCTGGCACATAGACTTTCAAAGGTTTGAGTACATCAATAAACAAACCTGTTTATTCATTTTATGAAGCATTTTTACCCATATTAACTTACTTGAAAAGCATAGCCAATTAATGGAATTTGAATAAGTGGAAATACATTTTTTTTCATAATTATCTAACCTGACAATGACTTTATTATTTTAGTGAAAATTCGGAACTTTAATAAAGCCAAGCCACAGCCTGATGTACTTGAAGAAGAAAAAATCTATGCTTACCCCAGCAATATAACCTCGGAGACTGGATTCAGGTAGGCTTTGGGTGGGGTGTAAAAGACTAGAGAGAGAATTATAAAAATTTTTCTCCCCTGGAAATTTAGAAAACATTCTAATGCTTGGAGTTTATTATTATGCATATGTGCCTTTTTTGTTTGTTTGTTTTTGGTAGAAGTTTATTTATTTATTTTGAGAGGAGGGGGGAGGGACAGAGAGAGAGGGAGGGAGAGAGAATCCCAAGCAGGCTCTGCACTGTCAGCATGGAGCCCAATAGCAGACTGGAACTCATGAAGCGTGAGATCATGACCTGAGCTGAAACCAAGAGCTGGGTGCTTAACCAACTGAGCCACACAGGCACCCCCATGCGTATGTGCCTTTAGAATTAAGTTCCATTTGCTTAATTCCATTCAACTGTAATGAAACCAAGTCTAATGAAAGAATCTTATTTTGGGATATTGCCTTGGCTTAAAATATCTTAAGAAAGAGTCACAAATACAATATGCTGTACTGAAAACTATTAGCGACCCATTTGCAAAGAGACCAATGAGTATTGGTGAATTTGTGCAACCCATTAATATCCTGATTGTTTGCAGGACTATTTCAAGCCTAGAAGACATCGTTGAAAAGCAAGGAGACATAATAGCGTACCTGAAGCGACACAATGCCCTGTTGAGTAAACGGTTGTTGACTTTCACTTCCTCCGAGCTAGACTCTCCACCTAGTAGAATGTGAGAGACTCAAGGCCAAGACAGCAGGTGCAGAGAACTCCAGAGTAACGTAAGACTGACTGACAAGCTGTCCTGGGGAATTGCAGCTTTTGCCAGATAACATTTGACAATTTTTGTTGGAAACCTGAATTTCATTTTCACCTGTGTGGCTGTTCAGTATGTGGGACCTGCGGGTCACTTGAAAGGTACTTCATAGGTAACTCAAGGAGGTCTGTTTTTGCACATTTTATAGTTGTTTAACTGTCTGGTTTACCATAGGATCAAAAGTATAATTTAAACACCTCCTCGCTCAATGCTTGTACCACATGACATTAGAACCCTGTAATAATTTGGTTATTTATATAGAGGAAGTCTGACTCGATAATCTATTTTAAACAGGGTTTTGATCAAATAAGTTCTTTCCATTCTTAAACTGATGAGAGAAGTCATTGTTTCTGGTGATTTATGTTTTTTCCCCCTTCAGAGCTTTGTCATGTACTTGACATGCTCATGTGGTTTGGGATTACAGCATGACCTGTGCTGCAGCTTTTATGAAGCATTTCCTCACTGTAGGACCAAGATCTCACTAGGTGATTTCCTATGCAAACTCCTACAGTTTTCCATTCTCCAGAAATAAGATACTGAGTTTACATGGACCAGTGTTAGACTGACCAGTGTTGCTTGTTACATCGGCAGTACTTTTCATTAGCAACGACTGAAATACTTAAGAGAAAACTTGAGAACTTTCCCTTTATTTTTTTTAATTTTATTTATTTATTGAGAGAGGTGGGGGACATGCACAGGACAGGCAGAGAGAGAGAGAGAGAGAGAGAGAGAGAGAGAGAGAGAATCCTAAGTAGGCTCCACACTGTCAGCACAGAGCCCAACATGGGGCTCAAACTCATGAACTGAGATTATGACGTGAGCCAAAATTAGAGGAGTCAGACACTCAACCGACTGAGCCACTCAGATGCCCCCCTACCTTTATTTTTACCCTTCTTCAAGAAGTTGCCATAGATTTCAGTATTGACTGTGCCTTGACTAGATCAAGAAAGATATGTTCTGTGACTTTAATTTGGTCTAAAAAGGGAAAGAGGACCTTTTTTAGTCTTGGATTATACTTTTTTTTTTTTTTAGGTTTTATTTATTTAATTAATCTCTGTACCCAGTGTGGGGCTTGAACTCACGACCCCGAGATCAAAAGGCTCACAATCTTCCGACTGAGCCAGCAAGGTGCCCCTTGGATTATGCTTTTAAATTATAGGAATAAAATGTCATATAAACTTATATAGATATTAAACATATCTCATTCTCCAGGGAAAATGAAGCACTTTATGAGTAAAGGGCATTATTTCCCCAGTTTTCCTAGTTTGCCCTTTTAATTTATCCATTTGCTATTAGCACCTTTATATACTGCCCTAGAAAGCTTAATATGAGGAGAGGGGATATTTGTGATTATGTATGTTGGTCACTAGCTGAATAATATTTCATTTGAAAACCCTTAAATATTAAATATTTCATTTGAAAACCCATCCAGGTACTTATGGAGGCCAAACACCAAGCTTCCCTTAGATATAGCGGTTACTGGACCATTCTAAAAGTTTTTT